TAGTTGTTGAGGCTGATTTCTCTGACTATGTGACAGAAGAAGTGATATTATAATATGATGATGAAGATGTTCTATAATTATATATCTTCATATCTAAGAAACTGAGTCCTGCTGAATACAATTATGAGATCTATGATAAGAAACTTCTCACAATCATACACTGTTTAGAAGAATGAAACTCTGAACTTTAAAGTATCTCTGAATTTGAGATAATCACAGAGGATAAGAATCTTAAATACTTTATAACTATCTATAAACTCACTGAATAATAGATGTAATAATCTGAGTTCTTAAGCTGCTTTCATTTTATAATACACTATCATTCTGACAGTCAGAACTTGATGACAGATGCTCTCTTATAATGAGAGTAAGATATGCCATCTGATATAACAGATACTCACTGAATGAATTGAGAGCACTGACTCTTGAATCTGAAGATACTAGTTGATCAAGATGAAACAGTTTATGACACTATATATGCTTCTCTGATTAGAACTATACATACTTCTTCAGTTAGAACTGTCATTGATATCTTCACTTTCTCTACACTGAATGAACTGTGGTATACAGCAGCTCAGACAGATGAACTTCTTCAGATTCTCACTGAAGCAGTATATCAAGAAGCATTCTGATTTCTCTCAGAACTATGTATAAGAACTAATATCTCAAAATATTCAATCAATGATAATAATACTCCATAATTTTATGAATGATACTGACTTCCTCACTCTAAACTCTTATATACTCAGATGATGCAAGAGATGTATGATTTGTGTATAACTGATTATTCAGACTGTGAACAACTGTATAGAATGATCTCTCAAGAGTTCTACTGATCTGAGATATTAAACAGCATCAGACACTTCATCTGAAACTGTAATTACTGTTCTTCTATTATCTCATGAAAGAACTGTAGAAAAGGTCTATTGAAATCACTCAATATCTCTGATAAAATCTGATGAGATGTAGTAATTAACTTCACTATTGATCTATCTGAGAGTAAGAGTTATAGAAACATTCTGATCATCATGAATTGATTGAGCAAAGATGTAATATTGAAACCTTGTAACAAGATGAATGCTGAACAAGTTACTGAAGCTTTTCTACAGAGCTCATTCTATCAGATGCATGAATTACTGAGATCTATAGTATCAGATTAAGACTGTCAATTTGTGAGTACTCTCTGAACAAGAATCTGTCAAGTTCTCAAGATTACATGTCATCTATCAACTGCCTATCATTCTGAGACTGATGATGTGTCAGAATGAATAATTCAGATTATGAAGAATTATCTCTGTAAGTTCTGCAATCACTTATAAGATGATTGATATGACCTTCTTCTACACACAGAGATTGCTATCAATGATTGAGATGCTGTTTTAACAGATATAAGTCTGTTCTTTCTTATACACAGATATCACATGAAAGTGTTGAATCTTCTAGAGATCACACAGTTCACACTGAACTCTCACAGTCTGATTCAGATTGCTGATAATATAGTAATGAAGCTCTGAGATGTCTGTGATTAAGCAGAGGTCTTCATGATAACTGTGAAACAAGATCAAGAGAATCAAATCAATGTTCATCAAGATTCTGCTGAACAATATAAGATAGAAGATCTGATATGATTCTCTCAGTTGTTCATGATATTCAAATAGCAAAGCATGAGGGTCTGGTCTCAACTGCAGTTTTTATTGATATAAAAGGAGCATTTGATCATGTTTCAAAGTCAAAGTTAATTCAGACATTGAAGATATTAAAACTGCCACTTTCTCTAATAAAATGGGTTAACTGTTTTATGTCTAAAAGAATTATACAACTCTTCTTTGATGGAATGAAACAAGACAAGACTGAGATAAAAATAGGAGTACCACAGGGATCTCCAATCTCACCCATTTTATTTGCAATATACACTGCATATCTATTCAAAAATAGAAATATGAGAATAGTGCGATCTCCAAGTTATGTGGATGATATTGGTCTAGTCTACAGCTCAAAAACTATCAAAGAGAATTTGAAAGTAATTGAAGAAGCTGCAAAGGAAATCTTTGTTAGAGCAGATATCAATCAAATTCAATTTGATATGAATAAAACTGAGTTAATTCATTTCTTTCCTAGATTCAATGAGAAAGAACTATCTCTAACTCTTTTGAATAGAGAGATTAAACCCAGTGTAAATGTCAAATGGTTAGGAGTATGGTTAAACTCCAAGTTGAATTTTAAATATCACATTCAACAAAGAACTGTCAAGGCAGAAAGACTATTGAACAACATAATCAGACTATCAAATACAGAGAGGGGTCTATCCTTCCAGGCTATGAGACAGTTATATATAGCCTGTATTACATCAGTAGCTGATTATGGAGTCCAAGTTTGGTGGAATAATCAAGGGAATTTCACTGAACTCTTTCAAAGTCTGCAAAACAGAGCCTTGAGAAGAATTCTGGAAGCATTCAAATCATCTCCTATTAAAGCAATGGAAATTGAAGCTTCAATTCCTCCTCCTGCTATTAGATTTGAAAAGGCCTGTATGAACTATGCTCTGAGAGTTGTAAAGATGAGCTCAAATCATATAATCAGAGAAAGAGTCTCTTCTTCATTTCCACCAATTAACTCTGGAAATGAACTGGATTGGAATAGATTTCTTGATTGGAATGAAAATAATTCTTCAAAGAAAATGCCTTCTCAACTGTACAGACTATGCTCTCTGATTAAAAATCAATTTTCCTCTTTAAATGTTGAAAAAGTTGATCATGAGAAGCTATCTCCCTGGAGAGAAAAGCTTGAATCTCTTATAGACTTACAAATAAGTGAACTATCAAAAGGGAAAGAATATGAACAGCATTTAAAGAGAATTTCTACAATCAATATAAAAGACTCTATTCTGATTTATTCAGATGGCTCAAAAAATGAGAACTTGAATAGATTAGGCGCAGGCATTGCTTATACTGAAGATAATATTAATTTTATCTCAGATTTCTGGAATCTAGGCTCTGAATGTGAAGTCTTTGATACTGAACTATTTGCAATAGTGAAAGCTTTCAAACTCATTGAAATAAAATCTCATAAAAGAGGAAATTGTTTGAAAGAGGCATGAATATTCTCTGATAGTCAAGCTGCTTTAAAAAGACTTAGAAATAGTCAGATTCATAATGATCAAATGAATCTTGAACTGATCTTAAACTCTGTTTTGAAAATTCAAAAGAGAAGAATATCAAAGCTGATAATTCATCTGCACTGGGTTCCTGCTCATATGAATATTCATGGCAATGAATTGGCTGATTCAGCTGCAAAAAAGGGTGCAGAATTAAGCAGATCTATTCAAAAAATTGTGTCCTGGTCTTTTATAAGGAGAAAAATAAAAGAATCTTGTTTAGACAAGTGGAATGAAAGCTGGCAGAAACAAAAGAAGAGTATACATTATTCAAGATTTGAAACAAAACCCAAGTGGAAATCTTGTTCAATTAAATGTAAAAAGAAAATATTCTCATCTATAATACAGCTGAAACTAGGACATGGCTATTTCAAATCTTATATACAAAGATTTGATGATAGATTTGACTCAATAGAATGCTCATTCTGCAATACAAATGAGAATCCTGAGCATATTGTAATGCACTGTGCATTATACAATAGTCTCAGAGCCAGATTGAAAGAGAAGTATGATCTAAATCAATTAAATATGAGATTCTTATTCTCAACTGAGACAGGAATTAAATACTTAATAGACTTTCTATCAGAAACTCAAGCAGCTACAAGAAAATGGCTAAATTCAGAATTATCTGAATATGAAGAGGAGGAAATCAATCAGATATAGTCTGTTAAAACAGCTATACACTCTCTTTTAATAATTTGTTTTGTTATAGTCTCTCTTTACTTTATCTTTTTCTTTATCTTTTTCTTTCAATTTCTTTCTATCTATCTGTTTAATGTGTCTATCTTTGAGACTGTGTTCTTTTTCTCTTTTCTTTTGTCATGATATTGTCAAATGGTTTCAAAGTATCAAAAGATGTTAAAACACTGCAATTTGTAAACAGTTTTTGTATTCTGGGCTGGAATTTTCTGATTTTGCATATCTGAAATTGATGAATGTATAATAGTTAACTTTACAGACATAGAAAAAACCCTGAGAACTAAAGTTCTCAGGTAGATGTCATAGTCTCTGACTGCATACATCTATAATTGAAGAATAATAATAATAATAAAGATCTGATATGATTAAATCTTAAGAATATACAAACCACACATTCATCTCATATACTAGATTACCATCACATCAAGTATAAAGTGATAGAAGTTCTAGATAGTCACAACTACTGTCTTGACACATCATCAGAGATTCATGATATATTTCACACAAGCTTGCTCTGCTGTGTCATCACTGATTCATTTTCTTCTCAACTGACTTCTGACTGACAGTCACCAGACATCATAGAAGAATATAATGAGCTTGAGTGAGAGATTGAGAATATTCTCAATGAGAGACCTCACAGCTGCAGCTGATAATATCTCATGAAATAAGCCAGCTATAATCAACTGATCTGAACTCTGAGTTTCATGTTATCTGAAACAGCAGCTCTTGACTGATGAGAACTGCTTCTGAAAGAGAGGAGCTAATGTGACAAGCTGCACCTGATCAATTATATAGATCATTTCATTACACTTCATAGATTCTTCTGCTCCACTTCATAGATTCTTTCATTTCACTATTAAACATGTACACTCTGATTCTCAGCCATTCACAATCATCAATTCTCAGTCACTATGAACGCGTATAGATTCTTCCGCCCTGAAGCTTCATCACATATACTACTACATACATGTATAAATATTCACTCTGATCACTGATTTCTACACTTTCTCTTTCTTTTCCTTCTTTAACATTTTTCTCTTTGTTATATAAGATTTATTAATATCATATCAATCTATTCAGCGTAGGCCTCTTACATTTAGCTTCTGAATTCTTCAAGAACTTTCATTATGACAGATGTCTTCTCTTTTCATTGAAGATATTCTGTCAGATCTGCTCTTATCTCATCATCTGCAGAGTCATCTCTACTGATCTTCATCTGCTCAACCTCATGCTGAAGTCTTGTAATTTCTAGTCTCATGCAAGTCTTCTCACTCACTGAGCTATTATCATTTCAGTTACTTGAGCTCTCTGCATTGTCTGACATCTCACTGATATCTTCAACTGAGTCTTTATATATGTTGAACTCATCAGACTGTTTCTCTGTGATGATTTCATCCAGCTCAAACATCTCTGAAGCAGTCACTTTTCAGTTCATTGCAGATGTTGATAAGCTCACACTCAATTCTTCTTGTGCTTCAGATGTTTGTGAATTTCTTCTTCTATATATTGACATGTAATTCTTCATTAAGTCAGGCTTTTCATCTGATCTCAGATTCATCATGAGTTCAATTAATTAATAAATCATCTAGGCACGCTTGTAATGATGTGTGAAGATGTCAATTTAGCACATTGTTGCAGTTATTCATTGCTTGTGAAGAGCTTCATAATCTCTTGAAGAATAACATTGTTATGTTGTAATCTAGCTACGCGAGTTACACTAAATGAATAGGTTGGAGTGGCACGTGACTAGAGTAGATGTAGTAATCACTAACACAATCTATTCATTTAGTGTAACTCGCGTAGATAGATTATATACACATAATAACATTATTCTCTAAGAGGTTATGAAGCTCTTTGTATGCAATGAATAATTACAACAATGTACTAAATTGACATCTTCACACATTATTACAAGCGTGTCTAGATGATTTATTAATTAATTGAATTCATGATTAATCTAAGATTCAGGGAGACATCTGACTTAACAAAAGAATACATGTGTTCAAGACAGAGAAATGAGAGAATGTCAGAGCAGTAAACACAAGATCACAGATTACTGTCAATATTAATAACAAATCAGAAGACAGCTTCTGAAGTGTTTGAGTTGATTAAAATCATTGCAGAGAAACAGTCTGATAAGTTCAATAACTACAAAGACTCAGTTGAAGATATCAGTGAGATGTCAAACAATACAGAGAGCTCAAGTGACTGAAACAACAATAGCTCAGTGAGTGAGAAGACTTGCATAAGACTAGAAATTGCAAGACTTCAGTATGAAATTGAGTAGATGAAGATCAGTAGAGATGACTCTGTAGATAATGAGATAAGAGAAGATGTGACAGAATATCTTCAATGAAAAGAGAAGATATCTATTATAATAAAAGTTCTTGAAGAATTCAGAAGTTAAGTAAGACTTATCAAAAGATTAATAGTTCTCACTGAATTCATTAACTACTCAATATGAAGAGAGGAAATTCTTTTGACTATAGAGCAGTCTGAAACTGATAATATTCTTAAAGATAATAATCTTGATAAGAATATTATCATGAACATATAATATTTCTGAAAAGCATGCAATCTTTGATTATATAATTATATATAATCTGTAATTACTCTGCAGATCAAGACTCATTTCACTATACTTAAGAAATTCAAGTTATCTACTTATACTCTATGAACTATCATAGAGAATAACTTTTCTAAGAGACCTGCTGTCTGCAGAACCTGTCTGTTTAAGAAGTTAATTAGTATAACTGCTAAGTTGAAAGACTCAGATCACACTTTCATTGAATATCTGATTATTATAAGAACTGATTATAGCTGTCTAGAATATGAGATTCTGAATATTGTGTTTTTCAACAGACTGCTTACAGAAGTTAACAGAGATTGAGTCTCATTCACAAGAAATTGAATGAATCAAATTGATAAAGATAATACTTAACTCTTAGAGAATAATTTTATAGATCTGTGCTATGATATTCTTTTACAGCTCTCTACTGTGAATGAAGTAAATACTGATGTATCTAGAAATTCTATCAACAACGCGTAAGACAAGAACAAGAAGAAAGATAATGACAAGAACAAGAACACTGAATTCAAAGCTGAACATAGAAGTAATGACAGGAGAACCTGCTATCATTATCAAAAGGTTGATCATATTCAGACTGACTGTTGAAAGAAATACTCTGAGAAATGTTCTTTGAATTTGAATTCTAATATCAATAGAAACAAGAATAAAGACAAGAATGTGAAGAATACAGACACTGCTTCTGTTCACAGTATTATAAAGCAAGTATTTTACATTAAAGAAAAGGCCTATGTGAGTGATCTGATAGAAAAAGATATCTGAATTCTAGACTCTGAATTGAGCACTTATATCACATCTCACAGAGATCTTATCATGACAAAACCTCTGAAGATGAAAGTGATGTTAAAAATAACAGATGAAATAATAGTCCTCACTGCAGCTATAGAAGATACAAAGATTTCAGTGAAAGAAATGAATATACTGTTAAATAATGTCTGCTATGTCCTGAAGTTAGAAATCAACCTCATGAGTATGAATAAGCTTGTATATCAGAGTTATACCTATAAGCAGTTAATATATGAGAATAATCATGCTATATTGATTATGTCTTCTGACTACATATTCTCATTTACAGCAAGATTAAATGAGAATGAAATCTATGATATGAAAAGGCCAGTTATATACAGAGACTTGATTCAGTTTACTATACTTAGTAATGATTTTGAACCTGTGAATATATTACAGATGAAAGATGACACAATATTAACACTATCTGACAGAAATAATACAAAGATTATAGAACTTATGATGATGCAATGACATTAAAAGCTAGAACATCTAAATCTCACAGATATTGCAAAAATGACAGCAGATTCATGTCTAGAGATAAGAATTATTAATCAATGAGCTTTACTATTCTGCAAAGTCTGTGTTCAGATAAAAATAACATATTCAATCTTCACATCTATGATATGAGCTGTTAAGTCAGTAATGAGATTCTTCATTGCTCTGACAGAGGGTGAAAAAACACTTTTTAACAAGAATGACACTCTCACTAGAAGAGATGCAAGTTATTAATTGAATATAACAGATAATGCAATCTGTTATAGATGAGTAATTCTTATAATGAGAAAGAGAGAATCTACTATAAGATTAATGAATTTCATCACAGATATTGAGATAACTATACAATGTCAAGTTCAGATTCTACACTGAGATGATGAAGAAGAGTTCAAAAGTTAAGAACTTAAGATCTACTGTCAGAGTAAAGAAATAGTATATGAAATGACTACATCTGACATATCACAATTAAATGACTCAGTAGAACATGAGAATCAAATAGTTGCAGAAAAGATATAAAGTCTACTATTTAATAGTGAATGAGAAAGAGAACTTTGAGATGAAGTAATACAAGCTGTGATTATAATGATTAACACATTCTCAATATCAACAAAGATATTTGAATGCAGAGAAGAAACATCACTTACATCTTTTAAAGCTTGAACTGAAGTGCAATCTTCTATTCATTGAATATAAAATGAAAGTGCAAGATCTACAAGAAGAATTTGAAAGTATTAAATAAGCTCATGAATAGAACTGACAGCAAGGAATGACAGCTGGTTGAATATCAAGAATTATATCAATATTATGTGTGAAATCCTGTTGCATGCTGTCTTGAGATTGCATGAGATGTCATATTTAATAAAGCTCTTAACATGGGTGCAAGTACATCTGTAAATACAGTGAGAGAATTCAATGAATTTGTGGCGGGCTGCGCCTGATCAATCATATAGACTATTCCGTTACACTCCACAGATTCCTACCGCTCCGATTCTCGGTTGCTGATCCTCAGCTGAAAACCTACGGAATTCCTATTCTTCCACCCCGAAGCTCCACTGTGTACGAAAACCCCTATTCTTCCACCCCGAAGTTCCACTGTGTACACTATTACATACATGTATAATTATTTACTTCAATCATTAATTCTCACACTCTCTCTTTCTTTCCTTCTCTAATGATTTTCTCTTTATTATATAAGATCTATCAATATCATACTGATCTATTCAGTGTAGGCCTCTTACACTAGAAAAACATTCATTGTCTTCTTATTAGAAATGATTATTCATATATCATCATCTCATTAGAAATGATTACTCAATGAGATATCTGAACACATAACAATGTATAAGAAATAGAGAAACAGTTAAACAGTTAAGCAGACACTGAGTTCTTAGATAGAAGCTTGCTCATTAGTCACTCTGATTAGGTAACAAGATCTTATGAAGAGAAGAAGATCTTATAAAGAGAATATCAGCAAAAGACTCAAGAGTTCTGACACTATAGATGTATGAGATATTCATACAATTACGCTTCTTCTGACTTCACAGATATCTCACATCTGATAAATGATATAATTATGTCTAACAATAATATGAGAGAACTCTTGAATGTGAGTATAGATGTGATATCACAGTGACTCTGAGCAATATTGAAATTACAATAACAATAAATAGCTGATATGTATGCAACTCAACAACATTAACATGAAGAAATTTAATGACTATCTCAACAAGAAACCTCTGTACAGACAATTTCAATACTGACAGAATTAAATATAAAAGTACTGAAAGAACACTTAGATACTTCTATATATTTCAATACTTCTAATCTCACTCTCTACTCATCATGAAGAATGAAAATGCTTGTGAAACTGAGTGTGAATAAAGATGTCATCAGTTCACTAATCAATCAAGATTGATATATCAATGAATGATTAAAGTATCATGTGAAACAGAAGTTTTATTCATAAATGAAAGCATGTGAATCAGTGTTGTAAACATCTGATAATATTATCAAATATCTTGATATTCTGTTCTGAGTCACTATCATATAATAGAAAGTGTTAGATTGATTACAGAACATCTGAGAGAGAAACACTTCTCTTACAACATTTATCTCTGACTTCAACATTAAGATCTTAGAAGCAGGTGATCAATCTTGAGAGAATTGAATAAAGATTAGTATGCTCAAGAAGACATTAACTTTCAAACTCTTACAGACTCTTATAAGTATAAATAAAGACTTAACTTATGAAGGCTTCTGCACACAGCTCTGAACATTGAATGATTATCTTATCAAGCTCAAGAGTATACAGAACAGTGATAGAAGATGGAACATTTACACACTTGCACTGAGAAATAACTCAGTCACTCATACATCTGTGCTGAGAAATAACAATAATGATACAGATGCTATGAACTGAGTAGACTCAAATGTCTATATATAAGCAAGAGTCTTCATCATCTGAACAGGCTTCTGAGTCTCTGAGATCACTCTCAAAGAAGTCACTGATCAATGTTAATGAGAAGTGTACATCAACT